AAGCAGTGAATAGAAAATGCAATCCTTCTGGGATAGCAGTTGACTTTTGTGATGCAGTGATGCTGTAGAGACTCCTGAGCAACCCATAAGCATCAAAGAAACTGCCTGCCTCGTCGCTGTTGGCAACAAAGCTTCCGAAGCAGACACCCACATTCTGAAGGGGATGTACTTTATGACCACATGTGTGTGAATACAGAAAACCAAGACAGTGTTGCTGCTGTTGACCTTTTGAGAAGCTTGTCAGGGGGTGTGTAGCCGATACGGCAAGAAGCCAGGTTCAAACGAATATATATCAAAAAAACAAGCTCATCTTGACACGACCAAAAGGCTAAAGTAGCAGCAAGATCTACAAAGAATCAAAGGTGTACTGTTTTTCTCTGCAGAAGGAAACACATCAACCAAGCAATTTGCTCACCTTGACTTGGTCAAGTGCAACGTTCCGATCTGTGCCTCTTCGAGACTTTTTCAGCCGAAACTTGACTCGGTTGAGTAGAACAAAGACTTGAAGAAAGATCAACGCGAGCAATGGCATCAACGCCAGTAAGATTAGCGGCAGCGCCAGAAGGACTATGTTCATCTCTTCATCCACCTCGCCTCATTCATGCGTCCACCATGAATCAGCTATAGGCTATAAATAATGTCATTTCGAGTTCTCATTCTGCAGCTACTTCTGCTGTTTTCAGGCTTTATGTGGCCATACGGCTAAATTATATGCTCTATTGCAATGCGTTTCGACTATTGCAAATGCATCAGATTGAAATGATAAGAGATGTGACTAGCTCTCATCATAGTTCGTCTCCGGTGAATTTCCGCATGTTCTCAAATATAGACTCTGTGCATGCAAAATAGCCCGAATGTAAAAGCCTTCCCTTTTTAGAGGAAGAAACCCTTCACCACCTGGAATCCCCATAAGCAACTTCCCCAGCTCTCCCTTATCCTAGGTGCCGCATTGCTTCCTCCCTTCCCAGGTGGCACATCTCAAAAGCAGCCGGGTTGCGCTTGTAGGCAATCCCCGTGAGCAAGGTCGTGCAAACCAAAGCTGCAACCAGCTTCGCGACCGTCCATCTCAAAGTGTGAGAATGCGAAACGGAAATGGTAATACTAAGTGGACTCATGCTTCCATCGTACCCCAAAATGAGACATGCACGACAACCCTCCAGCAGAGCCAGGAGAAGGGCGGGGCTGGCCACGATGTACCATGCTCCCCACTCCACATAGCCCTCTGCCCTGCATGGGGTCCACAGAACCATCAAGATGCGTAGCAATCCAGAGAGAAGCAATTGGAACAGGGAGATGATCTGGTAGTCCTGACGGAATGCAAGCACTAGCTCCACCAACTCCAGAAGCACCCATGGTCCTACTGTCACTGGCCACGGAAAGACATAGAAATCCAAGCGTAGAGCCGCTAGAACTCCGCAGGCCAGGAATGCCAAGTTCACCTGGATGCCATATGCGTCAAGGTCTGCTGGATCTGGCATGGGCGTGTTCCGAACATCGTCTGAATCTCTCTTTGGTGGCCTTTTGCCAAAGCAAACAGCAGCTGCAACTGACAAATGGGTCACTTGCAACAACCATAATGGCACAAAGGAAATGGACCATGGTATTGCAAGGTAGCCACTGGACTTCAGCACAATAGACCAACTGGGAAGGCACAGGAGGGAGCTGATGAATAACAAGAAGAAGATACCCCAAACACCACAAGCCTTGGCGAAGTGGACCGTGATCTTGTACAAGAGCAACAACTCCCCCATCAGCCCTGTGAGGCACACACGACGCCACCAAATCTTCAGAGCTGCTGTCAACTGTCGGTCTTCGCAGAGGACCAGTACATGAGCGGCAGAAGCAGCCACGCTTTTCGGGTGCATTTCACCAAGCTGCTGGGAAATCTTTGGCCAAACATCTTGGTACTTTCGGATAGATTCTTGAAAGTCACACTGCAGTGCATAAGTTTCAGCCAGCATCAGTTCGCAAAATATGCTTGCTGGGTGATTTCCTCCAAGCTGCTTTGTCCATTCTTCCCCTGCTTTCTTGTAGTATTCAATCGCTTGTCGGTGTTTCAACAAGCACGTGGACACAAATGCTAAATCCTGCAAGGACTCTAATGTGTCGAAATGTGTTTCTCCAAGCACCCGTTGCCGTCCCACGTAAGCTTCAATCAAAAAGGGCTCAGCGACGTTCATCTTGTGCTGCATCTTGTACATGGAGCCCAGAAGGCTTAATGACCGCTGTCTTTCCTCTTCCAGTTGCTGCTCGGAGACCTTGGAGCTATCCCTTGGCAAGCTTCTCATAACACGAACTTGAAGATCCTTAGATTTTATACACAGCCGGGTGCCAAAGCATTCTTACAAGAAAGATGCAACAACATACAGTACTAGATGCAAACCTGAGTGAACTATCGCTCGTCCAACACACAAACAATCCGCAACACAGAGCGCCTAGGACACTTTTGTTGGTCTGCAGCTGCCCTAGAGGCGTTCTGGTGGAACCTTTCCCGCAGGGCAAGAGAGTCTTTCGCACATTGATAGTCCGCATGTCCGGCTCAACAATGATGGTGTGATTGGATTGAAAGGAACGCACATGAAAAAAGATTTAAAAAAGTCTTCCAAAAACACATTGCAGGGTGGATCAGCTGTGGACGTTCAATTAGCAGGTGAATGGAAGTGGAGATCAAGAGTGTCACTTCTGGGACGGAAATGGATAGAAGCTCTTTGGTAGATGAAGACCAAGGTGAAGTGTGAGCGGTACATTTTTTAGCCAAGGGACGACTTAGGCGCGGCAATGGTCGGTGCATGCGTTGCACGATTCTTTCGAAGATTTGCACAAGTTGCACGAGCAAAATTGCATCGTGCTGCTCATCAGCTCCCAGAGTGGAAGTTCTTGCCCCGCAACGAGAACCCGGTCGGATTGCGACGACACAGGTTCACCAAAGAACTGCCCCGCGAAACCGATCATGCACGAACACGAGGACTTTTGCGAAACGGTCGAGAAAAAGGATGACTGAGCGGCACGTGCACACCCTGCCTACGAACCCTGCCTTCACCGTACCATAAGAACCCTTTAGTTGCCAGCAACGTGTTTGGGAAACCACGCCAGCTTTCTCATCTCATCTCTGGCACATGGCTGGCCACGTCATCTGGGATCGAATGCCAGCACACGACGAGGCTTTCGGCGGTGCTCTCCCAAGTGTCAAGTTTGGCACCTCGACATCGACGATTTCCTGGGCACTTGGCGAGAAGCATTGTGGCTTGGCGTTTTCCATGTTCGTAGCAGGTCGAGATGGAAGCAGCACTTGGGTCTGATCTGCGCTGCAGGACAAGTCGCGCAGTACTTTGGGGTGCACTTCGCCAGTGAATCGGACTGGTCACCCGTTCTTCGAATAGGAAATCTCTCCAAGTGGTCTTTCTGGTCTTTGGAAGTGCTTGGGGTGCGAAACGAACTGGCAGGGCTCTGCGACTAGAACCCAGGCGGAGCACTTTGTGAACCTCTAGATCCACAGCGTGTGGCAGGCACAGCATTTGGCGGACCTCGACGTTTTGTCATGCGCGTGCGCTCTCATGTACGTGCTCTCACATGTATCATATGTGCGCCTCGTGTGTGCCCTGACGTCACTGACGTATCATTCTTCCTGTCTGGGATCTGTTGGTTTGTTGGAGCGCCTGAGAATTGTTGATTGTTGAAGCCTCAGGCTGAGAGATGATGTCGAGCTCCCAGGCCGCCTCATAGTCTTTGGGCTCCAGCGAGCTGCCGCAGCCGATGAAAAACATGTTCCTTGGCCGCTGATCCGTCCGGATTTGCTTCTAAGGTGGAGGCCATCGCTACTCGGCAGCTTTGGACGAAAAGCCCCGTTGGCTTTTACGACCTCACCTTCGCCCTTTGGGGCACTCGCTCTTTCGGGAAGGAAGCAGGTCCAACGGATTCAAAGAGTCTGACTGCCAGTCAGGCTGAAAACCGTTTTACACGTGTGGAAACCTGCACCTTGCATCACCCGTCACTAGATTCACTAGATGTCACAACATGTTTGGCACTTCTGTTCTTCAAAGTGCAGACTCTGTTTCTTGGACGCCGTATCAGCTAGCCCCAGGCTCATCAAGGCTCATCGCTTTGAGGTCCATAACAGTACAGTACTTTGAATACGAGACCTTTTGATCTCCAAAAGAATCTGCCCATGCTGGGCCATGGACTGGACGAAAACCTTATGTCGAAAATACAACCGAATCCAGCCAGAAGGAAGGGCAAGTGTTCTTTTGGGAGATCAAAGGTGAACCATAAAGGGATGCTAAACACTTTTTGACCGCAACTGCACACCCTTTTGCATGCCTGCCAACTGTCTGCTTCCCCCAACTGCAACAGATCAAGGACTTGCCTACTACTGTGAGTTGCAAACCTCACTTGCTTCCAAAAGGATGTTGGAACGAGACACAGCACAAGCCACAAGCGTCCGGAAACACAACAACACTGGGCCAGCCTTCCAAGCCAAAACCGCTATGCACTGCGGAGGACTTTGCTCACGGGCTGCTTCATGTGAGTGCTTGATGTGAGTGTCTATTGATTGTGTGATTGAGGATATGATTGATGAAATGACAGTTCCAACTATCCACAACTCGGAAGTTTTGTTGCTGAGCGTCCTTTTGCGCCGTACAAAAACAAAGTGCTGTCCCAGCAAAAACTGCAAAAGAATGGCCAAATGCATGTAAGCACTTGGGAGAGAACAAGCATAATGAAGCATTTTGTCGCATTGAAGGCCGATCACGAAACGAAGGAAACGGCAACAAGTAAAGCAAGTCTGAGTCATACAACCAGCAGCGCTGAAAAGACCAACTTCGCATGAGCCAAGGCAGAATTTCAGGGAAGGCTCATGGACCCCTCACTGGAGTGATCTTATTATAATATCAATACATGTTCCATCATTGGTGTAACTTGTATGTAGCCCCAGGTCCCCGATTAGACTTCAGCGAAAAAGTTCTAAATGAAACTTTAACGTACGTTTTTTTTTTGTGCAGTCAAGCTACCCTTGCCTGTCTGAACTTGCCCAAGTTCATGAGGACTGCCGCCAACCTGGAGCGCTGCCGAAGTGTCGAAAGATCTTGCTCACCAAGCATTTTTCTCCTGTACTCCACCACGACCTCTAGTATCTGTTTGGCTTTGGCATGTTGGCTTTGCTGGCTGTAAATGATGGCAACACGCAAAAGAGCCCTGATGCTCTCATCATTCTGCAGACCATGTTTCGTGGCAACTTGTCTGGCTCGCCTGAGTGCTCGGGTCAAAAGATCACCTTGCGCATGCAAGTGATTGTCTTTTAAACTGCTGCGAAGTCGACGAATCCTGCCTCCGTTGCGAATGACCACGCAGGTTCTGTGGCGTGTCTCGCCCGGCGGGTTCAGCTCGACATTCGCCAGGTTCGTGCCCGGAGGCTTGTTCTCCCTGCGCATCTCAGGAGTTTGCCGCACCGACACATCGAAGGCATTGTCAGGATGCACGACGATGGGGATGCAACATTGAACCCGTTTCGGGTATTCTTCATTCACATACTGATCACCTCTGGCTTCCCTGTCACGTCTCATCATACTCCTGTAGTTATTGTCCAGGAGCAATTCGGTGCTTGCCCATTCATCCGGTGGCTTGGGGACAGTGTAGATCCCCTTGCCCCACCAGGCGTTTGCTTTTTCTCCTGAGGTGATCAGAGAGGCCCAAACTTCGACCTTCTCTTTGGCCTCATTGGTGATGTTTCGGAAGGCTAGCAAAGAAGTGTAATGGAAGTATACCTCCCCTGGTTCTTTTGCATCATCCGCATCTCTGAGATCTAAGGGATCTGCCCAAACCAGAATTCCCAAGTGCTCATGACGCCAGCACCAAAGCTCCTCATCAAATGAATATTCCTCATTTTCGAAGATATCACCGGCATCATACCCTGACTGGAAATACTCCCTCAAAGGTGAGACCTTCCTCATGATCAATGGGATCACGGGCGAAGGAGGGGCATGCCGCAAGCCAGCAAGCCTTCCTTTCAATTTCTAGTAACAGGTGTTGATGTGAACGATTGCAATTTGCAATAATACTGTATGGACTCTGGGCGCTATCACGTGGCTGGGGATCAACCTTGTGCCTGAGGGAGACGTGTGTCTTTCCATGGAAGCCTGAGCCACTGACCAAGTGGGGCTAAATCCACACAAGTCCCGAACATATGATCATCTGCTCGTTCCGCTCGTGCACGGGGTCACCAACCAGTCATTTTCGTCAGCCTTCGTTCTGCACTACCCTTTACAGGGCCAACCAAAAACACAAAAAAAACTATGTTCAACCAGGTGCTTTTTACATTCAACTAGAAACTATGTTCGCATCCTGATCGAGTTGAGGCAAATCTTGAAACTTATGGCATTTTCGTTGGCCCTGCTTCAAGGCATGCCTTTCATGCGCAAGCCCGGCCCTCGCACGTGCTAGATTTCAGGCAGCTTCTTTGAGGCGGTCGCACCTGGAGGAGATCTCCACAGCATGTCAGACACAATTCGTGCGGCAAATGACAAGTGAAAGTCAAAGTGTCAAGCCACATCCGCACCATCAGGACGTCACATCCGCACCCAGGGCGCATGTAGCGAATGTTCTGCACAGGTCTGCCATTGCCTCCACTGCATCTGGGAATGCTTCATGATTCCTTGCAATGGAGAAATCTGTTCTCCCAAAGCCGTCCTGTCAAACATTTATGAAAGTCACGCGTTGATTCCCCAATCAGCAACGGCTTTCACATGCGTTTCGCCCTACATAGCAACATGCATGGGCTGGAACACACGACGAGAGGCGCGCCATCGAAAACGTGAAGCAAAGCGCGAGTCGGGCCGCCTTGACAAATCAATGTTGAAGGGTTCCAAGAAGGTTAGTTCAAATCCATAAGCTACAGGTGGTGCCGGTGCCATCCACTTCCATGTATGTTTTTTCAGGGAGTCTTTTGAAAGAACGCATCTCAGAGCTCCCACATTCCGAGTGAGTTCCGCCGGCCTTCCAGCCGCATGCCGGGCGAAGCTCGGGACCAGAGTGTGAAAGAGAGCGTCCACATGGCGAACATGTCCTGCAAAGCATTATGGAGCGTTACGGTGACGGTGCTGACCATGTGCAAAGCATCATGAAGCCTTTTTTTAGAAACTGTGCTTACCAAGGGGGCTTACCATATTTCTTGGTCGTGAGTCATGAGACAATGACATGTGGAATGCCATTTGCAAACCAATGCACCACACAAAGTTAAATATATATATATATATATTATCTCTACCTGTACAGTTCCTCCTGATAATGGCGCATTTCTTGAGCAGGGGCATGAAATAAATAAGAATGTGCATGTTCATAAATATAATATTCCTTGCGATTCTCCCCAGGTTGGAATGTTTTCAGATCCAAGAGCAACACAGCAATCCTGAGGCACAAGGTGTGTCTAAAGTCGTTCGTTTAAGTCGTTCGTGGTCGTCCACGGAAGGGTTTTCAGCAGGATCTTTGGAAAATGTTTCATGTAATCATGTAATGTAAAGAAAAACATGAAGGAGCCAATGTCTTGGATTCATTCCAGCTCCACGTTCCACTACATGCTGTACGGCTGAGAGATGCTCAGAGCACGTTTTTGCACAAAACAGTGGCAATTCTCTACCCACGATTACTGACCACTGCATTTTTTAGATTCCTTAGGATAACCTGCCTGTTCACTTGTTCGATTCGAAACAGATCTCCCAGAAGTGTCTTCGAACTTCCCAATCCTCGATGCAGACCCTGCGCAGTCCTCGGCTCGCATCTGCCGCCCAAAGCACCAACCACCTCCCCCGTTCGTTCGGGGCACGTGTCAACCCCCTCAATCTGAGAAGAGATTTGCTCGGCCGCCCCCAGGGGTTCGGTCGGCGACAATAAGATCTGAACGGAATGGAGCTCTACTGCTGAAGGAATAGACCTTGCACCTCGAAAGAAACCTCCACACGATCAGGCAACTGCCGGGTTGCTTTTAGTACTCCAGGTGATGCAACATGTCATCAAACTTCGCCGACTTTCACTAAAGTCTTAAACTGCCTGGCAGGTCAGAGTTAATGCTCGAAGGGCTTCAATCAGTCAGACAGGTCACTGTCAGACTCCTCTCAACCCTCTTGCTTGACATCTCAACGACCTCGAGGTCTCAACGGAACACCGCCCCAAACGGACCGTCTCGAACCACCCAGACCGTCCCGAACCGCCCAGACGGACCAAACCCGAGAACGACTCGAGAACGACGTGGAGTGGTGGATGGGAACTGTTGCTTCTTTGTTAAGTGGAGAGACTGCAAAGATACAAATTTTGCACAGGGGGCATCCTACCGTAAACGGTTCTTTAAAAGAGAAGGGCAGTCGCCAATGTGTGACATCTTCGCTGGGTCCCTTTTTGCGTGTCTCATTCAATACACATCGGTACCCCGAACCGACGACAATGGTTGCTTCGGTCAGTTACGGGGCGTCAGGGCCCGACGGGCCTCGGGCATGGGTTCCTCTCCGAGTAGAACCTTATGCCTCTCTGGACGTTGGATTGTTCAACTCCCCGTTTACATGGGTTGGAAAAGCTCTTCATGTGGGGGGGGGCGCTTGTTCATCAACAGTCTACATTAGAACGGGACGTGAACTACTCAGTTGCTAAGACATGCAAGATGGCTAAACCGACGCCACTCCATGTCAAGCCACCAGAGCAGTCCTCCAAGTGCCGAGAACGGTTCCCCAAGAAAAGGGCTGGTTTGCTTCGGTCAGGGGCTTCAACTCTTCAACTGTCCAGCTGGGAAGGTCTCCCGAAGGTCTCCCGAAGGCGTCACGGGAGTCTGCCTGCTCACTCCGTCAGAACATCTCCGAGGCTGGCTTCCAAGATCTCTGCAACATAGCATCAAGCCTGCAGCGGTCGCGCACATCCGATGGCTTCTAACAGGCTTTGAAATGCGCTAACTTACTTTTGTCTTGAACTCAACCAAATGCGCCACGCATGAAGGGCCATCTGCAATTTGGTCCAATCCCACTCTGGTGAATCTGTCAGTGAATCTGTCCTATTGAACGTACCGATATCTACTGCAGATCTGGGTACTTTCGGCAGCCCCCCCAAAACCCCAAGCTTCTGTCTGATTGGTTTCTGCTCTTCCAACATGGACCCTCATGGCCTCATCCTCTTGGACACCCGAGGCAACTACACCAGTTCCATCCCGCCTCAGGCGCCGTGGCGCCGTGTAGAGACTCGTCCGACCTCCGGACGCGCCAGGGGGATGAAACGAACCCGGCACGAACGGGGCCCGACAAGGACGTGTTTTTTGGTTGGTTGTTTTGATGTTGTTTGCAAACAATGATTGGAACCACACCAAACTTCGGTTGAAGTCATTCAGTACCATGAATGCTGAAAGGTTTAACTCATGGAAGGTGCCTTTCGTGAAAACATGGCCATTCTGGCTGGAGATGTTCTGGCTGCTTCCAAGCCGCAGGTTGGTCGACCCTGATCCGCTCCACTGATCAGAGAGTCTCTGCACCGCCTTCCCCAGTTCCCGAGACCGCACGTGTGCGCGCGCGTGGCGAGCCGTGCTGCGAGGAGACTCGTGCTTCGGCCGCCGGAGGAGACTCGTGCTTCGGCCGCCAGCCATTTGGAACAGAACTGCTGCAAGGACTCTTCCAGCTGGCACGCAATGGCACGCCAATGCTTCGATATGCCAAGTGAACCTTTGATGTGTCTAAGCGACCCTTTGATAAGGGCAGGTGACCCTTTGGTCTGTAAAAGTTGCCTTTTGATATTTGAATGAGCCTCTGGATATTGAAATCTCTAATTGCAAGGTGGCACGCAAATGGCACGCTCTGACACGTGCCACCTTAAATAAAACAACTAAAAAAATTGATTTAAGTGGAATAAACATAATGTCTTTCTCTTCATTCAAGTTTTCCCAAAGGCCTCATGGAAGCCCCTACTTCAGGATCTGTAAAGGTTTGGGTGTTTTTTTTTCTGTTCGCGCACACTGCATGGAAACTAAAACGTGCTAGTGGGTTTTCTACACATTCTTGGAAGGGGTTGTTGAAGCATACTTGATGCATATATAAGGGTGCAAAACTTGACATGCACTTCCTGGAATCTGGTTCATTCATAGACTTTTTGGCAAGCAGGGACCGGCGTTTCAGTAGCATTCACTCTTTTGCAGTTTGTTGCAAGTGTTCGCAAATGTCCCCATTTGGTACACAGTTTGGTGATGTTTGTCGCTGTGCTGACCGTACTGCCAACTTGTAAGTGTGCCATGTTGTTGTAGTTGTGACTTCTTTGGCTTGCTTTGCGCTGTTCTGACAGCTTTGACTTCTGATTCTGTGTTTGTATATTCTGACCCCAGCAGGTCTTGCTATTTGTCCGGTATGCTTGCACTGATATGTGGTTTGTGCTACTGTGTCAAAAAAAGAAAAAAACACTCCGTGTTTGGCTTGGTGAATCAGTCGTTCCGCTGACACCAAAATAGACGCACGTCCTGGTGCAAGCAATCCAAAGGGCCACTGGAAGTCATGGGCTTGCCTGACCCTTTTTATGTCCTTCAAGAGCTCCCTTTGTCCAAAAGTCTCTGGAAAAAGAATACAGAAAGGCACAAACATCCTAGCTGCAAGTCTACGCGGCCTTCTGCTGAAGGAACTGTTGCCTGGAACAAATTCAAGGCAAGGCTCGAGATTCAAAAACAGAACTATGATATTTCAGCCAAAGCGAACAGGTCAAGTCTGAACATGCATAACATAACCGTCATACTCACCTGAATTGGGAGAGCCCTGCATCGGCACCTCCATCCAAGGCCTGCAGATGAACATCTCCAGAAATGTGGAAATACCATCTAGCAACCCCCCTTGTTACTAGTAAGTAGCGATGCCCCTGCTACTAGTAGCGATGCACTTGTTGTTCACCAAACCGTCATTGACAAAAAGTTGTCACGCTGCATTCAACGTCCTGGTTCAAGGTG